TGGCCTACCCCAGACACAGAGAGGAAACTGGGATTAGGCAGTTATGCTTTGGTCTGGCCTGGCTGTAGGCTCCAACCCAGCTTTGCCAGAAAGGCACTTCATTGGGAATACTGAGCATGGGATCAGCCATCTGGTTTCCTAGTAGTCAATGTTCCTTGTGTGCAAGAACCCCAGAGAGGAGGAAGGAAGCAGGGAAGGGACTCAGGCACCCACAGCTCATCACTCCAACACTCACCAGGTTTGACCTTGGGGTTTGGGGGCCCAAGACCTGTATACTTTGTGTTCCCATTGCCAATATCCCTTCTTCTTGAGGCCTCCTGACTCTAGGTCCTGTGTGCTTTCCACACCCTGTGTTGCTTCTCTAAGGAACCACGCAGACTCAGCTCAGCCATGGCGACTGCACTTCCCTTCACGTGGAACGTTCCGGCTACACCTCTGCGGAGAGTGTAAATATGGTCTTTATAGAGATGAGGTCGGGCACTACTCCACTCAGAGCCTTGGTGCTGCTGAGTTAGTGTTGGCCTGCTACTCTGGGCAATGCTGCCCTTTCAGAAGAGGAGCCAAGAGAAATACTGGCTGGGCACTTTGCACTGTTCCAAAGGGAGAGCCCTGCCCACTGCACACCGAAAATGCAGTTTCATTGACAAAAAAGATTTCCATTCTTCATTTCAGTTTATCTTTGGGGGTCTCTCCACTGAAGCTGTGACTTTTTAAATGTGCTTGGTGGAAAACATCTACCAGTAAGTAAATCCTCGTACATTTAGTCTTGCAAATTCAAAAGCAAACACAGTAACTTGCTTGTGTGTACGTGATAGCGGGTAGGTGGGGAGTGGACAATGTCAAAACCAGCAGCTTTCATCAAGCATGGGAAGGACCGAGAGAACCCGCACGGGCACCTGCCCTGGCTGGCCTCACGCTGGTGCTCCTGTACCCTAAGGCCCCCAGAACCGGCGGGTTCATTCCCCCTGTGTACAAAAGAAGAGACTGAGGCTCAAGGAGCTTCCCAAGGACACACGGTGAGGCGACGAGGCCACCAAGATTTGAGCCGAGGGCTCCTGACTCCTGTATTTACCTCGGTTACAGATTTCTCATCAAAGTAGGACATTTTGAATCAGCCATTTAAATGGAGCCACAGGATAATCTTACTGCTGCACCTTCTGCTCCTCGATCATTTTACTGCTGCCAGTTTTCCATGCTAAGGAGTCTGTCTGACTCATTTTCATCCATAATTTAATTTTCTGACCTTTGCCGCTGGTGCCTTTAATGTAAGAAAAGGGCGTGTTTCAGCGCAGGAGGTTTGCTAGCGTCCTGCTCTAAAAGGTTTCCGAGGGAAAACTGTCTGGAAATGTGGTTGCTGCTGATAGAAGCTGATGGGTCCTGAGTATCATGCCAAGTGCAGAGCACAGGGGACATGGAGAATTTTTTTGTAATGAGAAAATACTAAATACCTCTTTACTAGTTTATTCCTACTCCATGATTCTAGAGAGGATGTCATACCTAAAAGCCTTAAAGGAAAGAACTGCCTGATTTGCCCTAAAGATTAAAAAAAAAAAGAAGAAGAAATTCTACATTATTATTTTTTTTATTTTTATTTTTTTAAAGATTTTATTTATTTATTTGAGACAGAATGAGAGAGAGAGACCGACCACATGAGAGCGGGGAGGGTCAGAGGGAGAAGCAGACTCCCTGCCGAGCAGGGAGCCCGATGCGGGACTCGATCCAGGGACTCCAGGATCATGACCTGAGCCGAAGGCAGTCGCTTAACCAACTGAGCCACCCAGGCGCCCCAGAAATTCTACATTATTAAAAGATACTAAAATAGTTGAAAATAGGCAAAGGACACCAAAAGGTAAGCAAAGTACAAAAATAAATCACCAATAAAGATTTTGGAAAGGTATTCATACCTTGACAAATAAGTGTAAATTTTTATTTTTTAAACCTGGCTGACTGGCAAAGATTAAAAATAGTCCTAGGGACACAGAGATTAAGTCAGCCTGGGCCCCCCACCCTGGAGTTCACTCAGGTTGGGGAAAAAGAAGAGAGCTTTAGACTATGAGCTCTGGACGATCCAGACCACCTGGGTTCTGACACTGGATCTGTCCCTTATACGCTAAGTGACCTCAGAGGTGTCACCTAATGTCCCCATACTCCCATTTCCTCATCTGTCAAATGGGTGACTACTAGCTACCTCACATTTTAAAATACTTGCCTTTTTTTTTTTTTTTAAGATTATTTATTAGAGAGAAAGAGAGCGTGCATGAGCAGGAAGAGGGGCAGAGGGGGAGGGAGATGGAGGGGGAAAGAATCTAGCAGACTCCACACTGAGTGTGGAGCGTGACACAGGGCTCAATCTCACAACCCCGAGATCATGACCTGAGCTGAAACTAAGAGTTAGACACAACCAACTGAGCCACCCGGGTGCCCCTAAAACACCTGCTTTTAAAAAGACCCCTTGGGACACCTGGGTGACTCAGTTGCTTAAACGTCTGCCTTTGGCTCAGGTCATAATCTCAGGGTCCTGGGACTGAGCCCTGCATTAGGCTCCCTGCTCAGTAGGGAGTCTGCTTGTCCCTCTCCCTCTGCCCCTCTACCCCCTAGCTCGTGCTATTTCTCTCTCTCTCAAATAGATAAATAAAATCTTAAAAAAAAAAAACAAAAAAAAGCTCTTTGTAGAAATGTCAATGGTAAAGCTGAAACAACTCATGGCACCCACAAAAGCAACTCAGGCTGGGAGTCTGAGACGGACCCCCCCCACTCTCCCAGTGGGCCAGACTGTCCCTCTGAGAACCCCACCAGAGTCCCATAGCAACCCTGCAGTAAGAGGGCTGGCTGCCCGTTTTCGGGGACGGGGGTGTTTTGCAGGCCTCTGCCGGACCTTCTTGTCACCAGCATTCCCATCAAACAGCCTCTCCTGTGCTTCTGACTTGGGAAAGAGCTGGGAGCCCTCCCACGCCTGCTGCGTGCTCTGCTCCAGCTGTCGGGGACAGACTGACTCTCTGCCTCAGTCCCTGGGGCTAGGGGCTGAACACAAACAAAACCTTTTTCTCTTTCCTGAATGCTCTTCCTGGAGGTCTGGCCTCCCCTTCCCCAGGATGGAAGAGGCACAAGGCAAAGAGGAAAGCAGCTGCTTGTGCCACATCTCCCAGGCTGGTGCTGGGGGTCCTGACCCATCCCTTGAGGGTGAAGAGGGCTAGTGAACAGGTAAATGGGTGAGAAGCCCTGGAGGATGAAGAAGGAGAACCCTGGGTTAACTGTCAGTGGTAAACACCTATGCAGACCTTTCTTCGGGGTGCTTTATTAGGCACTGGGGGCAGAGAGGGGTGATCAAGACCACTCCTACCCTTCCATTAGGTTCCTGGTGGGGATGCTCAAACACAGTGCAAGGGCTCAGGAGAAGCCCACCCAAGCTGCCTAGCAAAACCCCCAAAACCCAAACTTTTCTCATTTAACCAACATGTACGGACTACACAAGCCCAACTACAATCAGGAATGACTTTGAGAAGTTTGATCTACAGGGAAAAAGCTAAGTACACCTGCCACTGATGCCCCTCCCTGACATGCAGAAGAGAAAGGGCAGTAATGCACAGGAATTCAAGTTCAAAGAAGGCTGGTGAGGTCAGCTCGCCCTTGCTGGGCATCAGAGCAGCCCCCATCCTGCCCTAGGCTTCCACTACCCAGCGCAGGACCTGCCAGGGCTGGGCTCAATAAATAGTTAGGGTCAACATATACGTTCATAGAAAGAACAAGATGGAACTTTCTTAGCACTTTTGGTCTTAACCATTCTTGGTTTGAGGAGTATTTTGAAGAGAAGCTGAAGCAAATTGTGGCAATTTTATTTTTTTTAAAATAATGTAGTTCAATGGCTAGGTCCTGAAAAACTTCTGAAGGTTTCTGAGATCAATAAGGAAGAACCTAGCTTCTCTGGACCTTGGAGACTCCAGTTTCAACCTTCTTGCTGATGAGACCGACATCCAGGAAACCGCCAAGAGAGGTGGGGTAGGGCTGGTGAGAGGCTTACGGTAGCTGCTCAGATTCCACAGCAGCACCTGTTCCTTCTGACTGGGTTGCCCAAGCTCAGTGAAGTCCCAGAAAATCACAGAACCCATCTGGTCTCAGTTTCAGAAGAGAGCCACGGACCGGAAGGCTTCCTAGACATCATCCTTCAAGTTTGAAGACCTGCTTACAGAACAGTGACCTCAGAGTGTGTGAGCTCTGAGTGTCTGGCCCTAAATGGGCTTCCTTTGGAAAATATACAAATTGGGCTGAATAGGACTGGTCCCCCTCAAAAAAGCTGTTTGGAGGCCAGTGTCTGAATCAAAAATATCCTGAAACCTCTGGCTACATGGCCAAATTCTGGACACTGCTTGGGCACTGTGACTCCATGGAAGTTCATCACTAAAGACTGCAATTGTCCCTGAGCACTGTCACTGAAAAGACAAGCGTGGAGTCAGAACAGAGGTGGCGTGGGCCAACCTCAGCCCTTGGGACTCAGGAGAGCAGTAACTCATCTCCCTGCCTGGGGCGGAGCTGATCCATACTGTGATCCTTACTGCGGCATGTTGATAGGCACATCTCTTTGCATAATATGACCAACCTAAAAGATATATTACCCTAGGAACTCCACAGAAATGATCTCAGCAACCCCTACAACCTTGGGTGAGGTACCTATGATCTCCCTTCTACAAACCAGGAAAACTGAGAGTTTGCAGAGGTAAGGAAGCTTGCCCAAATCACACTGATGGAGTCAGAGCTAAAAGTGGGCCAGGAATCCAGGCAACCTGACTGCTCGCCCTGGACTCTTGCCTTTCTATCATGTTATTTCTCAAACTTACAAAACTAAAATCCCCTCTCACTGCAGGCCTGTGGCTCCCAGCTGGAGCTCTGCTGGAGGTTGTGCCTGCCTGGGGGTGTAGCCACGGGGGTGGAAGGGGCAGGCAAGAGTGGGACTCCATGTCCACGCCACAGGGAGGTCTGTGACGTGCACACATCTGTGTCCCCAGGCCCATGGAGAGACTGCCTGCAGGCCCTGGAGGATGGCCATGATACCAGCTCCATCTACCTGGTGAAGCCAGAGAACACCAACCGCCTCATGCAGGTGTGGTGTGACCAGAGACACGACCCTGGGGGCTGGACTGTCATCCAGAGGCGCCTGGACGGCTCTGTCAACTTCTTCAGGAACTGGGAGACCTATAAGGTGAGGACCCTGGGCCTGTCTGTGCTGCCCACAAGGTGACTGTGCCACCCCAAGAACCTGACAACCAGTCAGAGAGCCACTTGGGGGGAAGGGGCATGCTGACCTGTCAGGGCCTTTGTGGCCCCATGCAAGAAACACTTGGGTGAGAAAGACACTGACAGGGTCATTTTTGCAAACCCACCAGGGATGGTGGGGAGCAGTAGCCCCTTCCCTGCTTGCCACTGGCAACTGCTGCAAGATACGACTTAGGTGTGCAGACCACACCGTGGACAAGGTGGGAATTTTGAAATGCTGGTGTGGGGTGGCCCCTCACCCCAGCCCGGGTATGGGGAGCATCCTATTCCCAGCTGGGGCTTCCGGGGGAAGACCTATTCTCGCAGCCCAAAAGGGGCAGGTCCCAAGGGTCTGTTGTAGGAAACTGCAGGAATACTCGGGCCCTAGTTCCCAGGAAGTTGAGTGCTCATCCTGGTGGTAGGAAAGGCTGCTGGGCTCAGCCATAATCTGCCCCCTTCCTCTAGACAGAGCAGTACTAAGGATGGCAAGAGTAGCTTGGTTCACCGAATGCCGCCATGCACCATGCCAAGTGTTTCCATCTATTACCTGCTTTAGTTTCACACCAATCCGAGCACGGACATACGAGTATGGACCCAGGTTACAGATGAAAAGAGGAAAAAACTCGCTCGGGGCTGCACAGCTACGAGGTGGCAGAGCAGTGAGCCAAGGCCTCTGACACCAAAGCTCACAAACTACCCTGGCCATGACGTTCACACGTGGCTTTGCATGGCCCCTTCCTGTCCTGGCTGCTCCCAACCCACCTCCTGCCCAACCTGTGTCCTTGCTTTCTTCTCTTTCTCTTCTGCTTCCTAACTGAGAGGCTCCGGAAGACCCGCTCCTTCACCCCTCCCTCCTCCTGCCCATATCATTTTTCTCCGAGGCAGCAGAGCACAGTTGTTAAGACTGGGTTCCTGGTTCAAATCCTGGCTCACCCACAGGCTCTCTGTGACCCTGGGCCTCTGTGGACCTCGGTTCACCCGTTCTAGGGAGGATAATAATAGTACCTAGCTCTTAAGAGTTGGCACAAGGATTAATAAAATAACCTATGTAAAATCCCGAGAACAGTGCCAATATACCGTACTTGCTCACTAAATACTAGCTGTTATTATCATTAATGAGCCCATCGATTTTTAAGACTTTGAGTGCCACCACCTGGCTGATGATTCCTTAAACTACACATAAAAACAATCACAAAACCACTGAATTTAGACCTAGAAAGGAGCCCGGTGGATGTGGCACACACTTGTCACAGCCCATTCCTGTCTGGTGCAGGGAGCTTACACGAGACCCTCACACACAGCTCATTCCCAGACAGGGACACGGACGCTCAGAGAAGGGAAGGATTTGTCCAAGGAACTCTTGTTGTATTTCTACTGTGTGTTGGGCTCTCAGATGACCTCATTACATGCGTTCCTACAACAACACTGTAGGGAAGGCAACACAGTGTCCTCTGTGTTCACACAATGCCTGGCACACAGTAGGCACTCTTTAAAGAGTCTTGAATGATGCATGTTTGAGGCTCAGACGGGCAACGTGACTCATCAAGTCACAGCCAAGTACAGCAGTGGGGATTTGAACCCACGCCTACCTTATGCTCTGCCCATTTCCAGTCTCCTCTGTCCAGGGCTGGGCATCCAACAGTGGGGCCCTGCTGGCTGAGGGCACTGCATACTCCTCACAAATGCTCTCCTCTGTTTTCCCCAGCAAGGGTTTGGGAACATTGACGGCGAGTACTGGCTGGGCCTGGAGAACATCTACTGGCTGACGAACCAAGGCAACTACAAACTGCTGGTGACCATGGAGGACTGGTCTGGCCGCAAAGTCTTTGCAGAGTACGCCAGCTTCCGCCTGGAGCCTGAGAGCGAGTACTATAAGCTGAGGCTGGGGCGCTACCACGGCAACGCTGGGGACTCCTTCACTTGGCACAACGGCAAGCAGTTCACCACCCTGGACAGAGACCACGATGTCTACACAGGTAGGACCCAGTACAGGGCAGGGAAAAGAGGTCGGCCAAAGCCAGAGCTTCTGACTCAAGGCCTGAGAACAGGAAGGTCCCAGGGCCCAGCGGCCCGACCCTGTTCCTACTCCCTAAAGGTCCACTCCTCTGCCCACAGACCCCCTTCACAAAAGTTGGGTCAGAGTGGCATTTACAAAAAGGGAAAGGGAAAGAGGTGTACAGATTACACATCTGTGGGCCACTCTGGGCCAAGCGCTCACGTCACGTCTCTGCCTGAGGCATCAGGTGTCACGGCCACATACCTGGGTGATAATGCTGGCCCTGCCTCCTACCAGTCATGTGTCCTTGGACGATGCTGCCTAATCTCTCTGAGCCTCATTTCCAAATCCGGAAATTAGGACAAGGCATACCTCGCGGGGTGGTGAGAAGGTCAGAGACAAAGTACCTCGAGTGCTTTGTCTGGGACTTGGCAAATAGGGCTCAGCCCAAGTGGGCTTTTTTTTTTTTTTTTAATTTGACAGAGAGAGAGGGAACATAAGCAGGGGGAGTGGGAGAGGGAGAAGCAGGCTTCCCGCTGAGCAGGGAGCCCGATGCGGGGCTCGATCCCAGGACCCTGAGATCATGACCTAAGCTGAAGGCAGATGCTTAACAACTGAGCCACCCAGGCACCCCTCAAGTGGGCTGTCTTTGTGGTCACTATTATTAGCACGTACTGCTAACGAAGTGCAGTAAGGGAGCGACCAAGACAGGTAGGAGACACGAAGTGATTTGTCCAGGGTCACGTGCCTCAAAGCCAGGTCTTTACTAAGAAGACTCTATTAAATAAAAAACAAGGAAGAAAGCCGAAAATTGTAAGAGGCACAGATATAGTCCAACCCTGAGTCCACATGTCAGCCTCGCCCCACAGTGAAGCCTCTCGAGGCCCCCCACCCAGTTTCCTGACATGAGGGCCTCTGGGCCCTAGCTGCCTGGCAAAGCCAGAGAGGCGCTGCTCCTTCCTGAGGGGCCAACCCTACCTCCAGGCCAAGGCTGTCTGTTCTCATGGGCAAACCTGGCCCCCTCCCTGCCCCCTCCATTTAGTCCTGGTCTGCAGGCTACTACCTCCTCTTTAAGGACTGTCCTAGGAACTACCTGCTCTTGAGGCAAGCTCAGCTACCTACATATGGAGGAGGGAGGGCCTCACTCCAGGTCCCCATGGCAGCCATGCTCTAGCAGACTGTTCTCACCACACTGGGGGACATTCAGACACCTGTCTTCTGACTGGCCCCGAAGGGGCCCCCGAGGAAGCAGTATGTTTTCTTCGGCCAGGGCTGTCAAGGCTTCCAGGAAGAGCAGGGCAGGAAGATGACCCTCAGAGCCGGTCAGATTCTGGGGACACAGGGCCGGTACAGCATTTCTTGAGGGCCATCATGGAGAGCAGGGAGAAGACTATCAGGCCTGTAGGGCAGCACAATCAGTGGACAGCAAGGAAGTGAGCTCCTTGTCCTTGGAGTCCTGCAGAGCAAGCTCAGGCTTCCACTCACATGGAAGGCTGGCCATGGCATGCCAAGGGCTCTTTCTGCTCTGCAAATCCAGCACCGCCATTTGGTCCTTATGGCCTCAACTGATGGCCTAGAGGAGCCTGAGAAAAATTCTGGGAACACCTGGGCTGCAGAGGTTCTGGGTGCCTGAGCGGAGTCTCCCTTGAGCTTCTGCCTTGGCCAGCCTGCTGCCTCCTCACGTTATCGCAAGGCCTCAGCTGGAGCAGGGCCATCAGCTCCATTGGGCCCCAACCCCCAAGCCTGCTTGAGGCAGCATTTCCCTGAGTGGGGGGTCCCCTTCCCAGGCCTGCTCAGGAAACTGGGGACCCCCTCTTTTAACTAAGAGCAGCCCAAGCAGCCAGAGGCTCCTCCTCCTCGTCCTTCTGGAGAAGGCCAATGTCCCTGCATGCCTGCTTGCACCTTGCCCACACTTTTACTGGTGTTCCGAACTGCTTGTCCTTGGCAGCAAAATCCAGCCTGATGTGATAGTGCCAAAAGTTTTATGAAAATATCTTTCTTTTGTGAAATCATAAAAAAATATTTGGCTCGAATACAGGCTGGGAGGAATAGAGGAGCATTTCATCTTAAACACTTCCTTTGTCATTCTCTAAAAACTCTTGATCCAACAGTTGCGACTCTTAAAAAATGCCTAAGAACCCAGTGGCCTCTCCCCCACCCACCCCAGATCATTCTGCTTCCTATTCAAACCCCCCCAGGCGCTTCTCCTGCACAAGCCGTGGGCTAACTGCTTAACTGTGTGCCCTCGTTCCAACCCCACAGCAGTCCTATGGGGGAGGCACCATGCTTAGGACAGTTCAGTGGCTCTGCCAGTTGCTGGTCACAAGGCCGAGCCTCAGAGGTTAGAGCAAACCTGAAGCCCAGCCCACCTCTCGAGCATTCCTGTTCCAAATGCCGCCCCCCCCACCAGAGAGGGCCCCGCTAAAGTGCCCAAGCAAATGACGGACTCGGATAAAACTGCCTCCTCCCTGTGACCTCTTCCCTTGTCTCCTGCAGGAAACTGTGCCCACTACCAGAAAGGAGGCTGGTGGTATAATGCCTGCGCCCATTCCAACCTCAATGGGGTCTGGTACCGCGGGGGCCATTACCGGAGCCGCTACCAGGACGGAGTCTACTGGGCTGAGTTCAGAGGAGGCTCTTACTCGCTCAAGAAAGTGGTGATGATGATTCGGCCCAACCCCAACACCTTCCACTAAGTCAGCGGGGTCCCCTCCTGACCTCTCGTGGCCGTCGCCAGGAGCCTGCCCCGGCCACGCTGGCCCCAGCACCAGGAGCAACTCCCCATCAGTTCACCAGGGGGCCGGGAGGATGGGGCCACTGGATTCTGTTTTCCCAAGTCACTGCAGCAGATAATGGAATGGAATCGACACAGTATTCTCTGTCCCTGTTGCTTTTCTTCCTATCAGAGATCCCCTCAGGTTTCCACACAGCACAGGACTACAGACAAATCCTTCGTCAAGGAAATTAAATCCCAATAACAAAACACGACTGCACAATACCTTCATAATACACGTGTGTGAGCCGACCTTATGCACGCGTGTGTATACCACATATATATGCACTTAGATATATACCACGGGTACTGTATCTATATACATATATAGGTTTGGTTATATATACCTAAAAACACATACATTCAATTCTCAGATGTTGACATTGTTACCAACAGCTTTGCTCTTACGAGAAAAGCGTCATATTCATTGTGCTCCTTGAGCCTAAGAGCCAATCACAGACTGTGTAGCTCCAATTCAAAGAATAATCCTTGGTGTCCACGTGCCAGGATTCTTTCAGGAGTGTCTACACACTCTTCGCTCACATGGGGGCTCCCTCCTTCCTCATTAAAGAACCCCTTTCGGCACCTGATCAAATTTCAGAATCCCCCTCCCTCTCCATCTCTAGACTTCCCCACATTCTCAGGACTTTTCCAGCATCCATCATGCATCTATCCATCCATCCATCCATCCATCCATCAATCCATCCATCCATCCACCTGCTCCTCATCCAACACCATTCAGGAAGTACCTTCTGTGTGTCAGTCCTTGGCCACTCACTGCGGTTCCAGGCACCTTCTCTGCTCTTCTGTACAGCTTCCTACCCACTCCTTACCTTTTCTGTCATATCATCCTTTCTTTCCAGGCAAGATTCCTTAGCCTCTGAGTAGAAAACAGTGTGGGCTCCAGGTTTCTGGTCAGGAAAGGGAAGGCCAGGCCCGACAGCTAACTCCTGGCCACATAGATAATGTATTCGCAGTTTTGTATGTTCCAGTCACACTTTAGCCTCCAAGTCATTTTAACCGTCACAGAAATAATAACCTACCTTGCCCAGGAGATATTCAACTGAAGAGAAGTCATCACCTGATCGTTGGGGCCCCCGAATGGCTACAGACCAAAGGTCCCATGCTCTCAGGCCGCCTAGAGTCCGCATCTCGTCCCCAAACGACACTTCTCTGGAGAACAGTTTCCACAAAAATGACAACTGGCCACTTCTCATGAGCTCCTGAATAGCCAGGAGCTATTCCCTGGACCTCGTGGCTGGTGCGCTGCAGCGTGTGGCTTTCTGAGTCCTGCTGGCCATGAAGTGTCAGACTCAGTACTGCCGGGACTCTTGCCAAGCAGGGAGCAAGAGATGACTCAAGAAGGTGAGACTGCCCCGGTGGGCGTGTGAATGGGGGTGTGCGAGATGTTGGCACGTTTGGTACTGTCCATGTCTGGGTGTGTGCCTATTACCTCAGCGTTCTCACAAAGTGTACCATGTAGCATGTTTTGTGTATATAAAAGGGAGGGTTTTTTTTAATATATTCCCAGATTATCCTTGTAATGACACAAATCCGCAATAAAAGCCATCCGTGCTATTTGGATGTATCTACACTGTGTGTTATTGTTTTAGGATGCCTTCCTGGGACCTCCTATATCAGAGCCTTTTTGAGTAAAACCAGGAATAGAGTCAGCATCAGGGACATACACCAAAATCACTTAAATCACACTCTCCCTATCTTTGGTTTCCACCTACACCATTCAGGAGTCCCAAATGCAAATCCCAAAACAGCACCTTGAAGGCTCTCTGGGGCTTCACCTCCTTACATCCAGCCATGTCTCCACTGAACATCCTAGAAGCACCTCCTAGACAGTGCAACAAACCCCTGAAACGGCTTCCCCCAGGTCTGGTCCCACTTCAACAAAAGGCACCACTTATCAATTGCTCAGGTCAAAAACAAGGACTTCTCCCCCTGCCTTGCCAAGGCCAATCCATCCATCCATCCACGGAAGCCCTCTTCTCTGCCTTTGTGTCTCCTCTCCCCTCAACTACTATAACAGGTTCCCCAAAGACCAGGAGCCCTGCACTGTCTCCCTCATTCCAATCCAACTTCCATACTAGCTGCCAGAAAAACAAATCTGTGGGCTGGGAAGTCATCTCTAGGCATAACAGGAAAACCCCAAAATCAAAAAGGAAAAGACTAAGGGATATGACTAAAGAAAACCCCAAATTTTCTGCCCTCTGAAAAATGAAACATGACTGAGATTGAAGGCAAATATCAAACAAGAAAAATACGGGGTTAATATTCATGCTATACTAAGAACTCTCTCAAATTAAGAAGAAATATACAAATGTTGTGATAGAAAACTTTGTAAAGTATACAAACTCATTAGAACACAAATGGCCAGTAAACAAGAAAAGATGCCAACCTCAGTAATAACCAGAGAGGGACATTAAATCAAGCACAAACCATCACATGGTGCCTATCAGATTGGTAAAGATGAAAAAAGCTCCATGTTGACAAGTGGTGAAATATGTACTCTGTGTACGCAAGTACAAATTGATTCAATATATTTGAAGAGCAACTTGGCAATGTGGGTACCAAATGTGGATATATGTATGCATCAAAATTTAAAAACACTTATCCCTTTGGACCCAGCAATCCCTCTTCTCAGTGGCCAAGTAATACTGCCACATGAGAGCTGTTTTTAGCAAAGATGCAGTTGGGGAGAGACAGATGTTTATTACAGCCTACTATGTGCTTGGAACTGGACTTCATGTTTTCTTATGTAACCTTCACAGCAGCCCTGTGAAGAAGGGACTGTTCTCACTTCACAGGAGAGGAGAAAATGAGGCTCACAGTCAGACTGCTGGTAGGAATGCTCTAGCAGCAGTTAATCCGGAAGGTGCTGAGTGTCAGGCCCTAAGTAAGAGTTCTCAACTCCCTTCTCCCAAACCTCTAGTTGGTTGTTGGGGTCATCAGTTGTTGTGTGCTATTTGGTGAGAGTATCTCGACCTTGGCCCACATCACAGCCAGGCCTCCTCACACACCTCGAGTGCAGTGTCCAGGACATAAGGATTGATGGTAAAGGAAAACAGGGTCCATCCAGCCTTACTGGTCACTGGTCTTGGATCCAAAACCCAAAGCAAAGAGTTCTGGAAAGCCATGCTAGACAATGTGGAGCAACCCTTTTTCTAAACTAGTTGGGACTCAAACGAAAGCAGGCCATGATACCAGCTGTTTCTCCCAACCCCCACCCCAAAACCCGAACCTGAATTAAACCACACCCCGGCTATATGGAAGGAGAGGAAGGAATAAACCCATCAGACGGGTGGAACTAGCTCTCCTTGGTGTAAAATGGGGGTTTGACCAAGAGCATCCGAAGAGAATGGAGGGGGGCAGGGGGCTCAAGTGCAATGCGCCTTAGTGTCTGGTGTGTGGCTCCACCGCCCAGCAAACACAGCCAGTTGGCACCCTGAAGTCTGCTCAACTCAGACCGACACCCCTCCCTTCTCTCCCATCCCAGCCAGTGGCCTTTTAAGGCCTGCAGTCATAGGAGCACTACTATCACTAAGGTCTCCATGGTGAAGGCACCCACAGACCTCAAGGAAGTCAGAGAAACCCAGACTTTCTCCTACCCCAGGTAAGCCCCCACATTCCAGTTTGGGCCAATACCTTGGTCGCTGGGGGCCACTGACCGGCTGGGCTTATGTGGGGAACAAGGCCGGAAGACAGTGACGTTCTCCAAGCAAGTGACACTGAGCAGGACCCCCTCTCCCAAATTTTGCCCATTTGAGCAAGACTGAAAAAGACACCTTTGAACTACTGAAAACAATGGTCATGGGAGTCTAGGATGCTCGTAATCTACAGATGCTTTTTGGGAGCTCCAAGGTCCTCCCTAATCTCCGGAGACCACTTCATCTGTTATATGCAATCTTGTAAAGACTCTGGGTCATAGTAAGACAAAAGCAGACAACCGGAATAAACAAAAAGGGGACGTCTTAAGTGTAGCAAAATGTTAAAAAAGCACTCTTTCTGCCTCGGTTTTATCTGAGACACCAAAGCTAAGGGCAAAATAAAAGCTGCCAAGTGTCCCATATTCTAGAGCAGGATGCAGGACCATCCCTATGGGAGGGTGGCCCCAAACGGATTCTACATTAGCTGATCGCCCATCTGTAACCTGTGTAAGAAGTGCAGAAAAAATATCCTGGGGCAGGGGCGAATGAGGGGTCCTTACGATATGCTCCCCGGCCACCACCACCACAGGACAGGTGGGTGCTCCCCCTCACCCTCAATCAAGGGAGAGGGACTTCGAGGGACTGTCCCAAATGAGTGGCAAGGGCCAGCACTGGCACTATCAGCAGACTCATGGCTAGAGTCCCCAGGTCTGTGGCAGAGAGAAATGAGAGCACACCGGAGCAGATGCCAGGCCCACAGAGGGACACCTCCTAGGAAGCGGAGGGCAGCCTGGAGGGTGGGGTGGAGGGCGGTGCAAGGGGGCCCAGGAGCCAAGGAAGGAGCTGTAAGTGGTGAGGTGGAGGTGGCGTATCACCCCATCACGGCGGCTGAGTCCGAGGTGCCCAGAAGGGAATCTGTCCAGCAGCAGCTGCCGTGCTTGAGCATCTGGTATACCCACGGGGCACAAGCTCTGAATGACGACTGGATGGGCCACATAAGATGGGCCTTGACCCCTCCTTTTTCCCTCTCCCCTGGTCCAACCCCAAGGCTGACAAACCTTGGTGGGCCAGCGGGAGGCAGGAGGGCTGCGGGGTCCTGTGACAGCGCTGACTGTGGGCCCTCCCTCACCCCAGGCCTCTGAGTCTGGTCGGGCTTTACAAGTCCAGTCATCCGATTGCTACGCCGGGCTGTCTGCGGTGACCGGGTGGTTAGAACAGATGCAGCTTTTTCATGCCTAACAGCAGAAAGACGAAGAGGCTTGCTAAGCTTTCAGCGTCGACTGGGAAAAGAGCTAGTCCACAGGGTAGGCTGGAAAGGACACTGGGGAAAAAATTAAGTTGGTTTCTTCTTATACCTGACTGAGTCCAGCTCATTTAATAAGCTGGTTACATAAGGACACGAGGTATCTCCCAGAGTCCATGAGCAGGGACGCAGCTGGGCCTCACGAGGGCCAGGAACCAGAAACTGCCTGGAAAGCCTTCAAGAGGCAAGGCAGGAGCTTTCCCAGATTCTCCCCCTTCTTTTCCTTTTCCCTTGCTTGCAGGTCTCTCTGTTTCTCATTGTGCATCCATCTGCTTTTCCCAGCATGGAATTCCTGAGCTCACATGTCCTCCTGGTCTCAGTGCCAACAAAGACTTACAAGCACCCTCCCTTCCAATGCTCACTCCCGGCCAGAGGCTCCGACTGGCCCGCTCGGGCTGGGTGTGCACTTCAATCCTATCAACTCTGGTTGGAATGAACACTGCTGCTGGAGTTCAGTGCTGTGGGGGGCAGTTGGGGGTGGTTCCCAGGTTCCTAGGAGGAGTCTCAGCCTGGATCTATATCCAAGAAGGTGTCTACATGTACTTCAGCTGCTGTTCATTCCTCTCCTCTCGGAGACTGCATTTTGCTGCCTGGGTGGATTCTGTCCCACGACCCGTTAGATGGTGTCTATTCCTCAGCACCGCCCCCCCCCCACTCCTGCTGTACCCCACAAAAGCACATCCAACCCTCCAGGCCCTGCTGGGTCACTAAATGTGACACCTGGCTAGGCCCAGATGGGCTCTTCCTGCCCTTCCTGGATTCACCGAGTTTCTCAATAGTCTCTGGATACAGGAGGCAACAAGGTCCCCACTGCTGGAGTGTTCCTGGCAGTATTTTGCTCTGGATTACACTCATGCCATCTACCATCTATGGGGTGCTGTCTGTGTGCCAGGTACCATGCGTGTCTCCTTAAATCTCATAACAGACCTATGAGGTGGGTCTTCTAGTTACACTCCCTTTGACAGAATAGAAATCAGGGCTCGGAGATGTAAGTGACTTGCCCGAGAACACGCAGCCTGAGCTTTACCCTCTAAAGCCCAGGATTTGCACTCCTGCTTCTGCAGCATTAGATCACTGTCCGCAAGGACAGAATGAAACAACCAAGGCCCCTCTCTCACCCTGTGATCAACCCCTACACATCTGAGAAACGTGGTGGCCTCCTGCCCGCAGCAGCAGTTATGTGAGCTAGCCCGCCAGCCCATGTGTGTGGAAGTAACTGGATGGACAGTAGGTCCCCAGATGTCAGGAAGCCAGGGCTGTTTACCAGGGCTTTGCCAGGGCTAAAGTCTGGGCCGTCCCCGTCTTGCTTCCACTTGTCCTCCAACCGACTGACTCAGCCCCACCCTTTGGCAGTCCCAGTGTCACCCTGTGTGCCAATTCTGCCTGGTCCAAGCCCTGGGCCACATCATCTGGTAGCTGGGTCCCCGTCTGCCATCTCCATGCCTTCAGGCCTGGAGCTTCCTTACATAGTGTCTCTCAGATCCAGAGGCAAGCCTGACCCAGACCTAATCTTGGATTCTGCCACTTGTGGATACAATGCCTTGGTACCAACCATCACCGAGACATTCAAGTATCTCCGTCTCTCCTGACATGGGGCAGCCTGGGGCAGGTCCGCCCACACAGGAG